CGCCTTCACGGCTTCGAATGTTGTTTGCAGTTGTGACGACCACGTGAAAGGCTTCGCGGGTGAGAGCAGCGCGGTCAGCGGGCTGAACAGCTCTGCACGCCTTGGAATCATGTCTCGATAGTAGTTCACCATTCCCACGAAACGCCGTAGATCCTTGCGGTGTCGAGGTGGAGCAATGTCCATGATCGCAGACACCTTGTTTGGGATCGCCTCGATTCCGTCTTTACTCAGACGGTAGCCGAGATAGTCCACAGCGTCCGCGCAGATGTTGCTCTTCTTCGGGTGCAAGGTTAATCCTGCTTCGTGCATACGCGTGAACACCACCCGCAGGTGCTCCATGTGCTCGTCGAACGACTCGGAGAGTACGAGAATGTCATCGAGATAAACTCGCACGTACGGCAAGTCTCCCAATAGTTCGTCCATTGAGGCCTGAAATTCGTCTGGGGCTGTTGATACTCCCATGGGTAGACGGTTGAACACGAACTTGCCTAGGCCTGCCACGACAATCGCTGTAGCATCTCGGTTGCGCTTCGCTAGCAGTCTCGTGTAGTAGCTCAGTGGAACGTCAAAGCTTGATATATACACAGGCTTCGAGATCGATCGTATCATCTCGGGAACTGATCGCACGGGGTAGTAGCTGCGCCGGAGTCTCTTGTTGAGTTGGCGGAAGTCGCAGACCAGGCGCACCGTACCGTCCTTCTTCGGGATCACAAAGGCAGGTGCAGCCCATTCGGAGGAGGAGTCAGGTGTGAGCACCCCAAAGGCAACAAGTCGTTTGATCTCCGCTCGTGTAGCATCGAAGTAAGCCATCGGGATCGGGAACGGCTTGCCAGCGTATGGCTCGGCGTCCGGTTGCAGGGGGATGACGTAAGGTTCCTTTCGAAACGTTCCCAGTTTGCCAGAGAAGAGCTCCGGGAACTTGTTCACCAGCGTCAGGATAGATTCCATTTGCTCCGCTGTCAAGCTACGTGTGGCTATCAAGCCTTCAAGCGGTTCCTTCTTGGGTTCGTCGACGGCAATCTCAGCACGGCACTCCATGTCCGCTGCCAATGCAGCCGACGTTTGCTTCTCAGGTGGATGGTTCCGTGGCATCTTGATCTCGATACCATCCCACCGCAGCGTGCAATCCTCGAAGTCAATGGCCATATTTTGTTGCCACATGAAATCCTTCCCAACATCACTGGGTAAAGGAGCGTGTCAGCCACGCGGAAGGAGTGCGTACACGCTCTTGTGTTCGAGAATGCCAACAGCTTTAACGTCGTCGACGCACGGTGCGTTGTTTCTCCGACGGTGTTGTCTGCCTTCCTGAATTTTGCGTGCTCGCACTCAAGGACTACCTCGTCGCGGAGTGAGTGCAACGTTTCCTTGTCAATCGCCGAGTTGGTACATCCGGTGTCGAGTACAGCTGTCAACCGGACAGGTCCAATCTGCACCTCGATCTACATCCGAGGAGCACCTTCGATCGTCATTGCAGCCATGTCATCCATCGAAGCCATCGAGTGGTGACGTGGCGTCTCGTAAAATTGTGTCGCAGCATAGTCATCATATTGGCGCTTCTTGAGCGTTCGCATCATCGCTGCCATTTCTTCCATCTGCTCCTGCATCGCTGCCATTTCTTCCATCTGCTCCTGCATCGCTGCCATCGAGTTATTTGCCCTGCGGTTACCATTGAAACCTTGAGCTTGCTGGTGTTGCCGATGGGATTGTTGACCTCCGCTGTTGTGTGGTGGATAAGCTGGCGACGACGGGTCGCGGAAACACTCGCTGTTGTTGTGGTTGTTTCTTTTGCAGTACCCACAGTACTTATTTGCACGACCTTGGTTGTCGTTCTTCGGGCGCTGGTCATTACCCTTTTTTGCGTTGGAGCGTTGTTGGGGCTGCTGCTGCTTACTGCGGTTGCGATTCCCGCGCAGCAGTTCACTCTCCTTCTCATTGCGCTCAATTAGTTCGAACTGGTCCTCCATGCTGGGGAGGTCCCAGCCCCTCGATATGCGGTGAAATTCCACTTGCCAATTGATTGGCATGCCCATCCTGTACATCCGAACAACGTCAGCTTCCGGCACTGCTTCATTCTCTCCGTGTTCCAAGAAGGGGATCATGCGCAGGAGTGTCCTGAACTCACGACTGTAGTCGCGCACGCTTTTGCTCATTGTCTTGTTGAGCTGAATCAGCTCTTCCATGAGGACACCGCGGGTGCCTGGTGGACAATGCCGGGCCGTGAGTTGGCGTAGCGCCACCACGGTAATGTTCGGGCGGAACTCGGCTTCCTCGCGAAATACATCGTTAAAGAAGCGGAGGTCTTCATCGAAAAGCAGGACCTGGAGGTCCTCAGCTAGTGCCCACTGGTCGCCTTGCTCCAGCGTGTAGCCCATGAGCGCTTGGAACTCTTGTAGATGTAGGACCCAGTGCAGCCAAGCCTTCCAGTTTCCTTCGCGGACCGTGCGCACACCTGTGACGTCTACTGGCGGTGATCCGCACGAAACCAGTCTCTTCTGACGTCTCCTCTGTAGCGCTGCAGGTTGCCTCTACCTTATTTCGGATGTCTCTTACTGTCACGTGTTGGTAAGCTACTTGTGATGGTGTTGGTAAATTGACAACTGAATTGATAAGCATGGTTAGTTTTGTTGGCCTACGTCTCCTACACCTCCTGTAGTCCTGTAGCTCTCTCTCTCTCTAACCTGCAGTCCATATGTAGTCACGTAGATCTTGCGTCTCCTTACTCTTGCTGTTGGACGTGCCGTTCTTGTCGGCACGTCATTTCTTACCATGGTGGTCAGCACACTCACAGTCTTCAGTAGCCTGCCTGCTTCGTCTTTGACGTCAGCTACATTCATCGTTACAGGATCCATGACGACGGTATCCACTTGGTCGTCATCTTCGAGAACCATGTTTATTCTCGGCTTTTCACGACATTGGTCATTGTTCGCGTTGTTGCACCGCGTGTCGCTGTACCGCGGCGCATTCCTTCTGGCTCCAAACGTCTGTTGCGACTGCATCGGACATTGTCGAGCCCGATGTGCGGCACTCTTACACCTGAAACATAAGTTTCGGTGCATGCACTCTTCCTTCGATGGCACCCTTACGTTGTTGATCCCCATCGGCACAGGTCCATCGTTCTGATTCTTCGATCGTTTGTTATCGTACGACCGACACCTTGGTTCGCCTTGAATGTCCACGATGCGCGTGAGACCAATCATAGTCGTACGCTACTGTAATAGCGTCGGTCAACGTTGCACTCCTACGGTACTGGACTTCTTGGCGGATGTTTAACGATAATCCACGCAAGAAATACATGATCTTGTCTAGCTCACTCATTTCCTTGACTTGAGTAATCAAATGCCTGAACTTGCTGATATAATCAGGCAAATCATTGCAACGACGCTCCGTCAAATCGTTCATCTGGTCTTTTAGACGTTCTTGCAAATCTGGAGGGACAAGCTCCTCCTCCAGCTTGCCAAAGAAGTCTTCAACACTCTGCACCTTGTCCTTCTTGACGATGTACTACTGCGCAGCTCCATCCTTTAACGACCCTCCCAACACTGTCAATATGCGTCCTCTCAATTTACTATTTTTCCAATCAATGCCCTTTACTAAAAGTACTGTTCCCCTTGCTCCCGGTATAACTGGAACGATTCCTTGAGTGTTCCTCCGTAGCTGGGCTTTTTTATCCCATTCAGCTTGATCTGCGACAGCTGTCGTGACTTACACAGCTCGTCGATAAGTTGTGTTTGCTTCTCCATGGCCGCTAGCATACTGTGCATAAGCTGGGCCGAATCTGCCATGTCTGATAATCTTGGTACTTGGTACTTGATACCAGTTGGAACAAACAAATTTCTACAGGCACTGACTGAAAGAAACTAAAGAAAAATAGCCTATGTTACTTCCTAATTTGGCGGGATTATTCTTTTTTGGAGGTCTTGACTTTCTTCGATGACGTTGAAGAGGATGATGAAGTTACAGAGGTCGAACGATGACGTTTTTTGCCTTGCTAGGGTAACCAGAACTATACTGGCTATACCGGCTGGTTTGAGACTTGCTCAAATTTTAATAGCGGTGCAGTATTGAAGAACGGTAACTACTTATAGCTAGAAAGCCTTCGCCGGGGCTAGATGTGTAATTACACACCATGATCACCCACCAGCTAATGCTCACTGTCAGCTTGTGAAGTGACTTGATTACCCGTAAGTAGCACTTAGTCACGTGATTCGGTTTGATCACACTGATGTGACACGTAAAAGGTCTCCCCTGGTCTTTATGTTGAAAACGGACAGCGACGAGGCCTCTCTCCCCCGGAAGTGCTACCAAATGTGATGACTGGGGCTCTGTAGAACGTTTGTCCTAGGAGAGTGTAGGTCACTTGTAGAATGTAGGTTTTGTGCAGGTAAGCGAAGTAGGTGTTGGTCTCGAGTCTTGGGGGGTAGTTGGTATATTTAAGAGTGAATTCCTACTTCCAAATGCATGCCTTCATGTGCTCCTAGGCGAGCACAGGAGCTTCCTTCTTGTCTACTTATTTTTGTGTCCCTACTCTCGTGTCTTTTCGTTTTCTTCTTTGCTTTGTTTCTTTTGCTTTTCTTTTTCGTATGTGCATGTTTATTGGAACTAAATATGTCGTCACTGCTGCTGTTGGCCTTGAAGGCAACAGTCGCATCGACGTGCGGCCTCTGGCTGCGAGCAAGCAAGCCGGAGGCGGGTATGACATGGAGGGTCTGTACAGACATTGACTGCATTATTACATACCCATCGATACCTGAGCTGCGTTAGGAGTGTTACCTATGCCACCAACCTCCTGATTAAGTGCGTATGAGATTGTGTCAAAGTATCAACCAATCTGCATAACGCTTTCTACTTTTTTCAGGAATAAATAGAATTTCACTCAATTTAAAAATACGCATTTGAATGAAACACCAATTCTAAACACAGTAGAGAGTGTACGAAACCACTCAAATGCCTGCGTACATATCTCAAACAAAATAACGCCATAAAAGCCATGTAACAATTAATCATCCGTGCTGAGCGTCAGGAATCCGGTTTGCCAATTTTGGTTGTTGGCCATCTATAGCCTTTTCATAGGCACTTTCCAAGTCCCACTGAATATTGTGAACTCCTAGTAGATATGGCGCCACACCTGCAATTACAAGCGCCAAAGCGTCATCTTTACCGCTGACAGTATACAACTCGATGTACCCGCATTCAGTTGCATAGTCCACCACATAATGCAACACGCTCACATGCCCCTCAGCGGCAGCTTCGTCAAGAGCTTTCCACGTCGTGCTGTGCATTTCACGACGTGTTTTCTCATCTTCACTTGAATCAACGATCTGAGGCAGGAACAAACTCACCATATTAACCTGTCCATGCTTTGCTGGTTTAGATGGCATTCTGTATCGCTCTACGGTTTTTGACAGCAATTTGCTCTTCTATACTATCGTTATCGCTGTCTTCTGCTGATTCGTCGCTATCATCGCCCAAGTCGTCATTTTCACCAACACCTTCGTCGCTACTATCCGAGGCTTCGTCGATGTCGCCCCGTTCGTGAAATCCACGAAAACCATGCTCGCATAAACTCGGTACAACATGGCAACCGTTCGATGTAACAAACTATCCCCATCAGTATCATCGAATTCTTCGTCATGTCGTGCGATTCGTTAGCTGCTCGTCCGCCAATTTCGTGCACTAAACGCTGCATCATGTCCAAATGTCCATTTGCTGCCGCACGCAAAATGGCAGCAGTCAAGTCGCCGTCAAACGTCTCCAATAGACGGTTGATCCAGCGTAGTTGGTTTG